GGAGGGGAGGGTGTTTTAACTGGCTTATTTTGTGAGTCTTTCTGTCATGTTTTTTTCTCTCAGTGCCTTTGTCTTCCCCTCGTTCCCTGCGTGTCTCTGAGCTGAGTCACAACAGCATGAGGCTGAGCTGGAAGGCAGCACAGGGAGCTACGCAGTACCTGGTGCTCTGTTCAGCAGCCCCCAGTGGAGCAGAGGACTATACGATGGAGGTAGAGTTCAAAAGAGTAGTGACACCACTTTTCCTCTGTCTGGGCTGTCCTCAGTAAAGTTTAGGCCAAAATGAAACCCCAGCTCGGTATTACCAGTATGCAGGTGGGGTTTAAATGCTGGCTAGTTTAGATGAAGCAGATTTGAAACACAAAAACCTTTGGGAGAGTTCCAGTTACTTACCATGTGAGCTGTGGAGAGTTAGATGTAAACTCAGGGGCTGTCTGGGAAATAGGGGAGTTTGATTCTAGCTCTAATCTTTGTGAACTGATGTCATATATAAAACTATCATCATTATTATCAGCAATGTCTTTCATGGAAGATTTTTTTTTTTATTTTGTATCTGAAAACACATTATAAAGGAAGTCAATGCAGCTGTGAGGGTTTCACATATGGGATACTGAGGCCTGGGGAGAGAAGTGACTGCTTTGTTGGTCCTTGGAAGCCCAGGAATTGAACCCACATCTGTTGAGCCCCAACTGTAACTGCTGTATCCTTGAGAGTGTACAGAAATGTCTTTGTCGTAACCAGGCTTATGACACTGTAGAAAAATAAAATAGTAGTAGATAAATGGAAAATCTTTAAAAAACTTTAAGGTCATCCTTTTGTCTTGTGTGAATTTTAATAAGTTTTCTGGGGTACCTATACACTGAGAATATGAAGTACAAAAAAAGGCATTTACTGCTACTTTATCCCCTTCTCAGAAGGATGGGTTAGTTCCTTGCTTGTGCATGAGGTCTCTGCCACATGTACTCCATATGGCTTCAGGGAATATATGTTGGCTCTCTGACTCAGATTCCCCTCCTAATGGCATAGCAATAAGAACAATTGCAAGATGGTTTTCGTAATACAGCAATTAATGCTTGTACTCTGCTTCCAATGTACAGTTGTGTTTTTTTAAGATTCAGAACATTTGAATAGAGAACAACATTTAACATTGTTCTCGCATATTAGAACATTTCTACTGTTACCTGACCTACCCACTGTAAAAGTTCAATGCACTAATGCTGCGTAATGTCTACAAAAACAGTGTTAAAATGTTCCCAGCCTTTTATAAAAGTGTATGCCTTTGTATGTAGACTCCTAAAGGACTCCAGGGTGGATTTCTGCAGTAAGCATGTTGTAAAAAAAAAAAAAGAGAGATGTGTCTGTGCTCTGTTAGCGGCAGGTGGCAGCAGTCCAGCTGCTATGGGTCTGCATGCAAGCAGGCAACTTTTCTGCAAGCCTGGCTTTCCATGTGTCTCTCAGGAAACAGGATCCTCACCTTTTGCTTAAAACGTCAACTTCTATGCACCCCTTTCATCCTGTCTTACTGTAATACATAAGACACATTACCTCCCAAACATTGCAGAGAGAGCCAGCTGCACTGCTCAGTGCAGCAGCCGTTTGGTGTATTTTCCTCTGGCCTTCATCCCCAAAGGGCTGTGCTCCATCTTGGGGAGGCAGGATGAGGAATTTGCCTTCTCTTTGCAAACTTTTGGAACTGTCTCAGAGAAGGTTGGATCCTCTAAGGGGAATCCTCGCTGCGGGATGTCTGTAAATGGAAGTGATTGAGGTGCCTGTTATGTTGCCTTCCTTTTTGAGGGATTTTCATTAAGGATGTGATTTTTGGGTACTGTGGTTAGAAAACAGCCTTAAACGTCATATTTTCATATTGTGGATGCTGCTGTCCTTCTACTTTCCCCCTCCCCTTTCCATTTTAATGAATTCCCCAGAAAAATCTCAATGAGATTTTCCTTAGAAACAAAGAATTATTTCCTGTTCACTGCAGATGAGGTGTAAGAGCCTTATACATCTGCAGGCCAGGGCAGGATGAAGTGATGTGTCCTGCCAATGTGCTTGGGTCCCTTAGGAAGTGAGGAGGCAAAGCGCTGATGATTGTAAAACGCCTGCCCAAATGGTCAAGTATCGCTAGTATGACAAAAAGGGAACTTGGCCTCAGTCTGTGTCTCTGTAGGGTCTTGCTTGGCCCTTGGTCTGTTGAGGGTGTTGGAGGGTACTCCAGAACTGAAAGGTACCCCAAGATGGCTCTCTGTTGGTAGGTGAAAGTGGCCCAGCCTGAGGTTCTGCTAGACGGGTTGTTGCCCAGCACAGGGTACTCTGTTGCGGTGTATGCAATGTATGGGGAAGATGCAAGTGATCCAGCCAGCATCCAGGAAACCACCTGTAAGTGTTGCTTCTTATTAAGATGTTATTAAACACTTAAGGCAGGAGAGATGTTAAATAGTGCTTCCCATATAGTTCATATGGCTTGTAAACAGACTCTCTCTTCCCTGCCTGATCTTAAGCAAATATTGTTCCCTGAGGAGAACTCTAATCACAAGCTGAGCTGTGGAAAGGAGTGATTTTCCTCTGGTAAAAGAGGCCTCCTGAAACAGTGTTTCCCAAGGTGTGTGTTCCTTGAGGAGAAAGGGGAATTATTTGGCCTGTTCTCCACCTAAGGGCCCGGTAGCCTTTCTTGACATCCAGAGGCATGTATGGCAGTGACATAAAGAGAATATTTTCCCTCGTGATGAATGAGCCTCTTAGTTTAAGGTGGAGCCCTCTAAGAGCAGTAGAAGGCAACCAGTGCCATTGCCTTTGTGCAGGCTTTGAAATGTTTGAGTGCTGTCACTAATTATTGTTGCAGTGGCCTTGAGTCCTCCTAGATACCTGAGTTTCTCCGAGATCAGCCACGCATCTGTTAGAGTCAGCTGGGAGGCTGCGTCTCAGGCAGTGAAAGCTCACCGTGTGACCTACGTCTCTAGCAGAGGGAGCGACACTGGGGAGGTGAGTCCTCAATGAACTCGTGGAAGGAAAAGAAATCGGGAGGTCAGACGCTGTTCTCTCCTCCGTCAGCTGCATGGTTCCGGGAGGGCTTACCTACTGGTGACCTTTTAACAGTGGTGACTCTGACATGGGCGCCTTTTATGCAGTTGTCCCCAGTGTGCTAACCCTGGGGAAGTTTATCTCCAGGCTTCTCTCCTAAAACTCATGTTCCTCTTCCCTTGTAGACTGAGGTTCCTGGCACTGCATCATCCACTGTCCTAAGACCTTTGTCCTCTTTCACCCGGTACTTTATCAGTGTCAGATCTACATATGATGAAGGCGACTCCCTTCCAATTACTGGCAATGTTACCACGTGTAAGTAGGCAACTGAAGTGCTGGGAGATTCAGAAGGCCTTTGGTCCCAATTGTGAGTTACAAAATTGGCTTTTGTGGATCCTAAATGGGATGTTTACAGACCGGTCCCAGCAGGTAATGACCAAAACCATCACATAAAACCCAGAGGACTGTTTAGAGGGTTGTTCTTTGTGTGGAATATGCCCAACTGTGTTATCTGTAAAATGAGATGGAAGGATTAAAGGAAGGAGGCAAAGAGAAAGCACACTGTATTGGTAACTTCTGTGTCCTTGAGTGCCCTCCTAGCCTTCTCCCCATTAAAGTACCAAAGTGATACAGGTCCTTTCCACAAATGAAACAATCCTCCTTAATTAGGGTTTTAAAAATAATTTATCCCTCTCTGTCCTGATGGCTGTTGTCATCTGGGTCTGGAGAAGTGAAAGACAGGCTGGTCTCAGACATCTGCCTGGTTGATGTTTTGTTCCTCGACCATCTGTTCCCTACCTTGGCTCTGACAAGCTGCTGTCAGTGCCTGAGCTTCAGCTTGTTTTCCTTCTGCATCTCTCAGTAAAGGTCCCCCCGCCGCGTGCACTGAAGGTAACTGAGCTCTCAGGAAACAGTCTCCAACTGCAGTGGGAAGCGGTTGCTGCTTCAGATGTGGTTGTCTATCAGATCAGATGGAGTACACTTGGTGGAGAGAAGTCTCAGGAGGTACTGAACTGCACATAGCTGGGGAGGCTGGGTTGGCCTTGTGCCTGGTTGATGGCTCTGAACTCACTTGTGAGAGTGGAATAAAGAGGTGTAAAACTATTGAGGTTAAGGGACTCAGGAAATTCAGTGGTTCACCACCTGACTGGAGGAGCCTTTGGAATAGAATAGGGTCTGTCCTGGACCTGACCTTGTTAAGCAGATTAGTCAACAACTTGAGTGCTAGAAGAGAGAGGAGCTGGGAAGGACTACAGGAGGACAGGGTTAGAGTCCTAAAGAATCCAGGAAGATTGGAGAGGTGTTCTCAGAAAAACTAAAGGATGAAATTCAAGATGGGCAAGTACAAAGTACCAGGCTTAGGCAGGAATAATTAATTACAGGTATACAGGATGTAGAACAAATAGCTAAGTAGCAATTCAGCAGAAAAAGATCTGGGGTTACAGAGAATCACCAGTCCACAATGTCAAGTTGCTGTGGAAAAGACAAACATCATTCCAGATATTTATAGCTAGAGGTATCACCTCTAAGATAGGTGAAGCAACTTCTGTTCTGCTCAGTGCTGGTAAGCGCTGACTGCTTTTCAGATACTGCTCTTCGAGAAAGATGTAGTTCTTCAGAGTTGGGCTGGAATAAGGGTGTACTCGGGCTTCTGTTTTCAGTACCTCTAAAAGGTACACCAGCACACTGTCAGTCTCATTTCAGCCTCTGAGCGTGGGCATGACTGAGCAACGATATGAACACTTGTGCCTTTGCAAGACAATTTCAGAGATACCTTGTATGGATGTCTTACAGGGTTAGGATGAGAAGTGATACTGAAAACTAAGCAAAGAGATTTCATGCTCAGGGTAGGTAGAGTACCTTGTATCAGAGCACTACATTGTATAGTAGTAGCTGCTAAATATAATTGGGCAGCAGTGCATGGGTATCTACTCAGCATTAATTAGGGCTGGAATTTTGCCACCGCTTAAATTTGTGCAACCCACAACAGTAGACTTTGTCCCCAAAGCCCGGTGATAGCTCATTTATACCTACAGGCAGTCTGTGAGCCAGACACTTGGATGGCGTGAGCAAGCTCGGGGAAGCCTGGGAATTCTACTGACTCATTTCTTCCCCCACTGCAGCTCTCCGTCGCTGGAAATGTGGCAACTGCCGTTCTGCCAAGCTTGCAGAAGAACATGGACTATAAGATATCCATGTGGGCCTATTACAAAGATGGTGCTCGAAGTGACACAGTTTCTGTTCAGCACAGAACCAGTAAGTGATCAATGCCTAGTGTCCATGGTTTAGGGAAAATACACAGGGCATGGGGCACCTCAGAACAGATCACAGACCAGCAGCTTGGATCTGGTTATCTCCAGCTCTGAAAACCGAAACCTAAATGTATAAAAGTGACCTGCAGTATTTAGACTTCCATCTTAGTGTTCTGAGTCTCTCCTGGGAAAAATAGACTGGGCACACGTAAGCAGGCCAGTGTATCTTGCAGGTATCTGGTGCCCTTGCAATGTACCTTGTGTAGAATACATTACTTTTTTCTCCCATTTTGGTATAGTATATTGATGCAAATGTGCTGGCTTTCTGTAGGGTGTTCAGCTGACTGGGTCACAGTGCTGCCTAATAAATGTTTCCTGTTAGTAAAATATTGTCTGTTAAGGAGGGTGAGGAATTCTTCAGCTACGTAATTGCTGAATCTCGCTTCATCTGAGGGCACTTATGAAAATGAGAGTGAATCCTGCAGTCACGCTCTGTGTGGAAGCACTGTCTAAATCTTGCTTTGTAGAGACAGGATATGAGGTTAAAAAGTGGCATTCCCCAAGGTCCTCTTAATTAACATTGCCTGTGTAATGGCTTTGTTGGCAGCAAATGGAATACGATTCATTCAGCAGTGGCAGTCCACTCCTTCTGCATCTCTCAGCTCTCAACATCCTTTGCAGAATAGACTCATGTAGGTTGGTGTTGAGTTGGTGAAGCTTAGATTAAATGGCAATCGTGGAATAAGAAGCTCAGGTTTTATTAATAATGAATAATAATAACCTTTGTTTATAGAAAGCTACCTCAGGACAAAAAAAAAAGACAAAAAGAAAAGAAAGAAAGAAACATGCCTACAAGAAAAAAAATGAAAGCATCATACAGCTATATAAGGATAAAGTGACGATTAGAATTGTTTAGAGGCTTCAGTAAACAAACGTCTATGTTTTAAGGCAAGAATAAGAGAATGTCAGAGGAACCTCCCCAGCCCACTGCAAAAGGCATGTGATGGCACTCTTCTAGGCATATTTGGACAAGCCTCTCCTTGCTGGAGTTGGCACCCTAGTGGGACAGTGAAGGCAGTTTGACTTCTGCTTGTCGGCTGCTGTCCTTGTGCGTGGATAGGGATGCATTAGGGATATCAGTCGCTTCATGAAAAAAGCAAAATGTTCCAACAAATCGGGTGTGCATCAGGGCAGCCAAGCTGGAGCCTCATGCCTGGGTGCTGTGGCTCAGTTTGCATCTGCAGTCAGGCCAGTGCCACACACTTCTCAGAGCCAATATCTGCACATGCTATCAGTGTCTTTGGGTTAAAAGCTGATGAACAGCTGTAATCAAGCTGTGTTGAGCAAAAGCAAACTGTAGTGTAGAGGGGGATGAAAAGGCACTCTTCTTTCTGTTGTTGCTTTTATATTTTCTTTTCTTGGCAGTATCCCCATGCACAGAAATAGGTGAAGGTGTGAAATTCCTCTTAAAAATGCTTTAGTAGAATTTGCAAGAATACTGAAGCTTAAGGGCAGTGAGGGAAGTGAAATTC